GAGCACTGGAAGTAAAGTTTATATAAAATTTATGTAAGATGCTATTCTTCTATTGATGCACCCCCCAAATATTTATAAAATATGAAACCCATTCTTAGCTCCTGGGCCATTAAAGGGCCAGCAGAAGGGTCATGTGGTCGTTTGGCCATTCATAGTTTACCAACTTCTCTCTTTATATTAAGGCCATCCATTGGGATGGTTTTGACTTGACAAGTGCAGTTTTTGACCCATTGTAATTTTTCTGGTTGGCAACAGGTTGCCTCTGTCAGAGTTTGTGCTTGATTTCTTTTTTAAAGCGCTCCTTTTCAGGCTAGTGTTTTTGCCCTGCTTGGCACTTACTTCTGGACTACATTTCACAGTGAGTCTGTCCTTTATTATGTCTTAAAGCTTTGTTACTGCTATAAAACAACCTTTTTTAAAAAATTATTTATTTAGGGTTTTTTTTTTAGTCTTTGAGACAGGGTCTTCCTGTAGCCCCAGCTGGCCTGGAACTCACTATGTAGACCAGGCTGGCCTTGAACTCACAGAGATCCACCTGCCTCTGCCTCCCAAGTGCTGGGAATAAAGGCAGGCGCCACCATGCCCACCAAAACAGCTGCTTTTTAAATAGAGAAGCATTTATTTCAGGCTTGTAGCAGGTGGTATGGAACTGCCCCCACTTACCAGTAAGTTCACCTTCAGCTGCAGAGAGGACAGATTCCTACCATGCCGGCAGCATCTTCTGAACACAGGGATTTCTGTGCTTGCTGTGCAGAGTCCGGGCCACTAGACCAGTAGCTAGGAAGTGCTAGGAATTTAATGGCCCTAGAGCAATGCTTAACCTAGGAAGTGGAGAAGTACCCAGCCTTTTCTTTTTCCATACTGGGTCAGTTCTCAGAAGGAAAGGACTCCTCCACAGCAGTTAATGAGCTCATTTCTCCTACTGCCTCAAACTCCTGTGATTGTTTCACTCTCCCTCAGTACTGTACTCCTGGGATTCCCACCTTAATTCCTCAGAAAGCTGGAAATGAAGTTCGCATTTAGTTATCACCTTAAATGGCGCATTGTCCTGAGAGTCTAACAGAAGTGATTGGGTATAGGAAAGAGAGTTATCTCCCACAGAGTCAGTTCAGCTCAGTGTCACTCTGCTTGGTTTTTCTGCAGTTGGTTCTCTATTCCTGAAGAGAAAAGCAACATGTGTGACCAGTTACTCTGACCATAAAAATCCTCAATCCATGTTATAAGCTAGTTCAGAATTTATTATTTCTAAAAGTTGTCAAAGTCTGTGCTGGAAAATAATTCAAGATATAAGTGCTACATAGTAAATGAGTAAGTAGTTGAAGAACCAGGTGTGGTGGCACATGCCTTTAATCCCAGCTCCTGGGAGGCAGAGGCAGGTGGATCTCTGTGAGTTCAAGGCCAGCCTGGTCTACATAGTGAGTTCCAGGTCAGCTGGGGCTACAGAGAGACCTTGTCTCAAAAAGACACACATACACGTAACTGCTATTTTTCAATTGTGTGTATGTTTGCAGCTGAATTAATAACATAACTGACTAGACTTTCCCTAAGCAAAACAAGTATTCAGAAAAACTCTTGGGGTGGTATTCTTTTAAGTTTAATTTATAATTTGAGGGGAAGATAGCTTGGAAAATCATCTTTGCTTGCCTGCCTGCCTTCCTTCCTTCCTTCCTTCCTTCCTTCCTTCCTTCCTTCCTTCCTTCCTTCCTTCCTCTGTCCCTCCCTCCCTTCCTTCTTTCTTTTTTTTTAGTTTCTTGTCTTTTTGAGACAGGGTCTCCCTGTAGCCCCAGCTGGCCTGGAACTTGCTATGTAGACCAGACTGACTTCGCACTCACAGAGATCCTCCTGCCCTGCTGGGATTAAAGCTGTGCACCACGCTGGGCTCATCTTTGCTTTAAATACAATAATTATGTTTGTCGATGATCTCATAAACACACAGCTGGAATCTTAGCAAGGCGCTTTAGCAGAAGGCTCCAGGGAAGCCATTCATAAAGATGAACTGTTCCATGAATCTGGTCTTTCTCCAGTACATCATTCCTGTCTGTTGCTACCAAGAACTTCTCCAACTTCCTCAACCACTCAGAATAAGCTCAGTCTTCTGAATGCACCTGGCAGGTTGTGTGCTGTTCGTTCACCAGATTATCTGTGAGCTAATCCATTCCTCGCACAAACTGTTTGCTGGTCACCATTCTTCTCATCTGTAAACTCTAGCCAGTATATCTAAGAACAAAGATCTGCTTTCCTGCAGAGACCCCTCCACTCAGCACATGTCCTTGGCCCTGCCTCACTGGCTTCTCAGCAAGCTCAAGTAATGAAAATTTGTGATGGCAATATAATCACAAGTAACTATCACCGGTAAAGTTTACCATTATAGAAAGTATTTTTAGGTGCATGATCAATGAGGAAATTTGATTTTTTTTTTTTAAGGGACCAGTTGTATGTGTTTTAAGTTCCATTTATTACTAGGTACTTTTAAAAAAAATATTTTATTTATTATTTTTTATTTTATGTGTATGAGTGTATTGCCTGCATGTATGTGCGTACACCCATGTCATGCAATGGAGGTCAGAAGAGGGCTTCGGATTCCCCTGGAACTGGAGTTAAGGACAGTTCATAGCCAACATTTGGGTTCTGGGACTTGAACTTGGGTCCTCTGCAAGAGCAGTCAGTGCTCCTAACTGCTGAGCCATCTCTCCAGCCCCAATTTACTAGGTACTTTTATATGACTTGAAGTTGAGAAACTCTTTTTGAGGACCAGACTATATTAAAATGAACTCTATATATCAGAAGTATGGTGATAGTTTTAATTTTTATTTACAAAAAAGTTAATCACAAAGGTTTCTTTCTGTTGGTGGTGGTAGTGTTTTTTTCTTGCCCTGGAAAACATACTTGGCCGTTTTCTTTTTTTTTAAATCACTCCTTTTTTAAAAATGTATTTATTTTTATTTTATGTGTATGAGTATTTTGCCTGCATGTAAGTGCATCTGTGTCATGCAGTGCCTGTGGAGATCAGGAAAGGGTATCAAATTCCCTGGAACTGGAGTTACAGACGGTTGTTAGCCACCAAGTAGGTGCTGGGAATTAAACCCAGGTCCTCGGCAAAAGCAGCCAGTGCTCTTAATACTGAGCCATCTCTCCAACCCCCACTTATCCCTTTTGAGCACTTGATAAGCTTAATATACAGTTGGTTAAAAAAAAAACAAAAAAAAACTTTGCTTTTACTTTAAATACTGACTGAAGTTAGATTTCTATATTTTGTTACAAGTGTATTGTGATATGCCTTATCTGACAGTAGTCAAATGTTGTGTAAGTTACATTCCTTCCTTTATTTTGTTTCATTTAATTTCATAAGGCTATTAAAATGTTCTATAGATATTTGTTTCCTGCATACTTGTACCAGAATAAGTTCAGAGACAAACTGTGTAGTGTAAGCTGTCTTCACCGAGGTGATCTTGGGCTGAGGTGTTCTTGTGGCATGGAGCGTTACTCAAGGGCTTTGTGTTCCATGTTCCTTTCCTCACCCAGAGCATCATCAGGCATCTTCCCTTTGAATTACTTAACATTAACATGCTGCTGCTGCCTTTTTTTTTGTTGGGGGGGGGGGTCTTTTTGAGACAAGATCTTCTTGTAGTCCCAGCTGGCCTGGAACCCACTATGTAGACCAGGCTGGCCTTGAACTCACAGAGATCCTCCTCCTGCCTCTGCCTCCTGAGTGCTGGGACTAAAGGCGTGCAGCAAGACCAGCTTTTTTTTTTTTTTTTTTTTTTTTTTTTTTTTTTTGAGATAAAACCTTACTATGTAGCTCTGGCTGGCCTAGAACTTATTACGTAGACCAGGCTGGACTTTGAATTCAGGGGTATCTGCCTACCTCTGCCTCTGAGTGCTGGGATTGTGCCACCACACCCAGCTATGTTTATTCTTTTTTAAAAAATATTTTATATATTATTTTTTTATTTTTTTATGTGTATGTGTGTATTGCCTGCATATAGGTAAGTGCACACCTGTGTTGTGCAATGCCCGCGGAGGACAGAAGAGGCTGTGAGATCCACTGGAACATATATTATTTTTTTATTTTTTTATGTGTATGCGTGTATTGCCTGCATATAGGTAAGTGCACCCGTGTTGTGCAATGCCCGGGGAGGACAGAATAGGCTGTCGGATGCCCTGGAACTGGAGTTACAGACAGTTGTTAGCTGCCTGCCATGTGGGTGCTGGGATTTGAACCCAGGTCTTCTGCAAGAACAACCAGTGTTCTTAACTGCTGAGCCATCTCTCCAGCTCCTCTGATTTCTTTTACTTTTTTTTTTTGGCTTTTTGAGGCAGGGTCTCCCTGTAGCCCCAGCTGTCCTGGAACTCACTATGAAGATCAGGCTGGCCTCGCACTCACAAAGATCCACCTGCCTCTGCCTCCCAAGTGCTGGGATTAAAGGAGTGCGCCACCAAGCCCGGCCCTCTTTTACTTTTTAAAGTGTGTTATGTGTGTGTTTGTGTGTGTGTGTGCGCACGCAAATGTGTGAGGAACCCAGAGATGTTGGATTCCCTGGACTGAAATTACAAGCAGTCGTGTTAGGAACCTAACCACCAAGGCATTTCTCCAAATCTCCACCTTAACACATTCCTGTAACCTCACAAATCCTAACCTTTTATATATTTTACCATAAGAATTCTATTGTCCATCTTCAAAGCCGAACTCAAAATCCACCAGTCCTGATTTCATTAATCCTTCCTGTTCCAGCCCCAGGGCTCTGCTTGTCATCTGTGTGTCCCGATTTGTCTTTGATTTACCACGGGTGAGTGCTTTTTCCTGGGCCGCTGTGCACTGGGTTTTGAGAGCAGAGAAAGTGTTCTCTCAGTGTTTGTATTTCTTTTGTGCCTATCACATAATAGTCATTTAGGATCTGTTGCTTTTCCTAAGTACCCAGTTGAGTTTTCTGTGTTTTGATTTCTCTCAAGGGTACTATTGGTGATTTTTAAGTGTTTTGTTTATTATTTGCTTTTTGTAGATGTGAAAAAAGATTGGTCTGACCATGCTCTGTGGTGGGAAAAGAAGAGAACTTGGCTGCTTAAGACACATTGGACCTTGGATAAGTACGGTATCCAGGCAGATGCCAAGCTCCAGTTCACCCCCCAACACAAACTGCTCCGCCTGCAACTTCCCAACATGAAGTACGTGAAGGTGAAAGTGAATTTCTCTGATAGAGTCTTCAAAGCAGTTTCTGACATCTGCAAGACTTTCAGTAAGTGTTACAGCCTTCATTAAAGCATGAATATGATGTACACACGACTGCTGCCTGGATTGAGCTTATCCTGAGGACGCAGGCTGGGTAGCAGTGTGCATGCATGTGCACCTCAAGTGCACTCTTTATTACTTACCGTTATTATGTTAATTTAAGATAAAGAATATTGGATTAAAATGGACAGGAAGAATCTAGTAGATACTTTTGTGATTATAATCGTTTTGGGCCAGGTGTGGTGGCACATGCTTTTAATCTCAGCAGTTGGGAGGCAGAGGCAGGTGGATTGCTGAGATTCAGGCCAGTCTGTACTATATAGCGAGTTCCAGACCAGCTGGGGGCCACAGGGAGACCCTGTCTCAAAAAAAGGAAGTTTCTATATATATATATATATACAGAGAGAGAGAGATACCATCTGTATAAAATGTTTCCTACTATGTAATATTTTCTTTTTTCCTAGTTATTGTTGTTATTATTTGTAGTAGTGGGGCTTGAACTTTGGGCCTCTTTGATGTAAGGCAAGTGCTCCACCACTGATCTCCATCCCCGGTGCTAATGATACATTCTATAGGGAGGGAAAAGGAGCAGCCAGCAGCCATTCCTTTCAGAGGGATGTGGCTTTTGCAGTGTTTCCTTCACAAAAGTCATTTTGATTTTAGTAATCCAGGGAATTGGTTCACTTCCTTCACTGAAGGCCTGTCAGTTCCCAGGAAAACAACCGTGAGGGCCTGTCTTCCATAGCCAGTCTCCAGTTTAAACACTCTTGTAGTGTTTCTATTTATGCCTTTGAAAACAAGATGTGGAGTACTTTTCACTTTGGCTGACCCAGTTATTTGTATAACAGAAAGTGCCCAATTGTTAGAGAAAATGTGAACTCTTGTAATTAACACTAGAACACAATTCTGTTGATTTGTTCCATGTAAAAATTCTTAGATATATTTAATGGCTTTCCAGATTTTAATTCCAGATACAACTATAGACTTCTATATATATGTTGTGTTTTCAAATGACACTAGTGATTCTTGAATTTATTCTGTTATAAAAGAATCAAGAATATATATACATAATAAATGCCCCCTTTCCAAAAATAACTATCATCTACACTTTGATTTTCTATGCATTTATTTATTCATACATGCGTCCCTGTGCACATGCAGAGGCCAGAGGACGGTGTTGTGTGTCCTGCTCTATCACTGCTTTACTACTTTGAAACAGGATCTCTCACTGAACCTGGTGCTAGAATGGCAGCCAGCAAGCACCAGCGATCCTCCTGTCTCTGCCCCCCCCATAGGGGGTTAGACCTGAGCATGGCCTTGCTCAGCAGTGCATGCTGGGGAGTTGAACTCAGGTCCTAATGCTTGCACAGCAGGTGTTCTTACCTACTTGAGCCATCTCCTCAACTCACTGTTATATGTATTCTTTATTCACCAGTGTGTCGTGATACACGTTGTTGTTCTATACTTCTGCACAGTACTTGTGTGTAGATGTGCTACTGTTGAGTCTCTGCTCCCAGATTTCCTGGTTAATGGACATTAGGCTATTTCACCGTTAAATACTGCAGCAACTTTTTGTTTTTGTTTAGCATATTGCTGACAAGTTTTCAGTTGGGATAACTTCAGGGTGCCCATCCTCATTGCTCAAATCAACACCCACACTCAACCGCTAGAGCCTGTTGGCAGTTGCTCCTGTGCTGTTCCAGGCACTCGCTGAAGGAAGGCTGGGATTATTTTCCCCTTAGTGCAGGCCCCCTGCTCTTAAACATCTAGGTTTCAAGCATGGAGGAATCGGCTTCCATTTCTTGTTTATGATTATTTTGATCAAGTCAGTATCTACTTTATGCATTTAAAGAACCTTTTTCTTTTATTCTCTTAAATGAGTTTTTTCTTGTTTTCAAGCAATGTTAGGAATGCTTATCTTTCCTCCCCAATCTTTATTATTCAAAAGGCCTTGGAGGGCCTGACATGGTGGCACATGCCTTTAATCCCAGCACTTGGGAGGCAGAGATAGTTCGAGGCCAGCCTGGTCTACATAATTAATCTAGGCCAGCTGAAGGCTACAGGGAGACCCTGTCTCAAAAAGCCAAAAAAAAAAAAAAAAAAACCAGAAAAGAAAAGGCAAACCCTTTGGTCCCCATGTTGATTTTTGTTTTATCACAACAACAAAATATATCTAGAACAGAGATAGGGGTGCCTTGTTTAAGGTGGAACACAATTCAATAGTCCCTAGGTTTCACAAAAAGAACCAAAAGGACTTGGAGCAGAGTAAGGGAGATACAGGTAGATTGATGTTACTTTTTAAATCCAGTATTCCAGAATCATTTGTTTATGTTTCATGAGATTAGTAAAAATTAAAACACTGAAAAAAATGTAGAGTTGTATAATGGTTCAGAATTAATAGCTATTGATATTTGGAGGGGGTTGTGCATACTAGCACTGTTGTACTATGGAGGTCAGAGGTTCTCTCCTTCCACCATGTGAATTTCAGGCATGGAATCTGGGTGGTCAGGCTTGGCAGCAAGTGTATTTGTGCACTGAGCCATCTCACCAGCTCCTTTTGTCATTTTTTTTTAAGTCACAGTAATACAGCTGAAGTTCTTGAGTGTCATTCTTTTAACTTCCCCTCACAAAGCTATGTTTGTTATTATATATATGCCAGTACTTTAAAGAATACTTACACACAAATCTCTGTGTATATATATATATATATACACACACACCTATATCAATAAGTAATATACTTATTGTAGTGTGACTATGCAATGTATTTTCTTACTCAGTTTTTAAAAGTTAAACGTGTTTGTGTGTATGTCTCACAGCACACATATGGAGGTCAGAGAACAACTTAGGGGAGTTGGTTCTCTCCTTCCACATGTGGTCCTAGGTATTGAACTCGGGTCCTTTAGTCTTGATGGCAAGTGCCTTTACCCACTGAGCCATCTTGCCAGCCCATTTTCTTACTCAGTTTTGCAAAAGAATATCTTGGCTATCTAGAAGGAAGTAGAATTGCTGTTGTGTATATGGGGATGTGTTTCCACATGTGACCAGTTGCTGTCCCAGCTGCTTCTGTCAGTTCACAGTCCCTCTGGCAGTGTGTGAAAGCCGTTCCCCAAATCCTACTGGCACAAATAGTCCATTTTCATTGTTCATTTCTCTAAATGAAAAAAAGTTAAAAATGTGTTTATACCCCTAATCGGTTATCCAAGTTTCCTTTTTTGAGTTTTGTGTGTTTGTGCTGAGAATTGAAGTCAGGCCTTTGCACTTTACCCTTGAGCTACACCCACAACCCTGCAACAGTTGTAGATTCACAGAAATTTTGGGAAAAAAGTAAGAGTTCCAATGTACTTTCCCCTACACAGTGCCCTGTATCAAAATGTTGCACCACAGTGGTATATGCGTTGAGATTATGAACTCATGTGGATATTTATTACCCCATAGTTTACATTAAGGCTAACTCAGTGTTTTATCCTTTGGTTTGCAAAACTTTGTACTGACCTTTATCTACTGTGATACTATTATACAAACAATTTGTGACTGCACTAAAATTCCCCTGTCCTCTGCTTATTAAGCCCCCCTTCCAAACAGCCCCTGTCAGTCAGCAGTGTTTTTACTGTCTCCATAGCTTTGCCCTTTCCAGAGCGCCATTTGGTTGGAATTATACAGTTTGCAGCCAGGTCAGGTTGCTTTTGTCACTTAGTAATGAGCGTTACCTCCATGTTTTTATGATGTGTTACCTCATGTCTTAGTGCTGAATGATATTCTTTGACCTGGAGTTACCTCAGCGTTTATTCTCTCACTCAACAGTAGAAGTCTTGGTTACTTCCAGGTTTTTGTTTTTTGTTGTTTTTTTTTTTTTAATGTTGCTGAATTATTATTATAATTTTTTTGTCTTTTTTGAGACAGGGTCTCCCTGTAGCCCCAGCTGGCCTGGAACCACTATGTAGACCAGGCTGGCCTTGAACTCACAGATATCCGCCTGCCTCCGCCTCCCGAGTGCTGGGATTAAAGGTGTGCGCCACCACGCCCGGCTACTTCCAGGTTTTAAGTAACACTGCTGTGAATGTTCTTGTGGAGGTATTCATGGTTTTAGCTCATTTGGTATTTACCAAAATGAATTAAAAATTTTATGTACATTTGTCCATTTTTATTATTGTTTGAGTTCTACAAGTTCTTTACACATTCTTTTTTTCAAAATTTTTTATCATGTTTGTGTGTGTGTGTGTGTGTGTGTGTGTGTACACATATGTCATGGTATGTGTGAGAAGGTTTATGACTCAGTTCTCTCCTTACATGTGGGTTATGGGGTATCAGACTCAGGCCATTAGGCTTGGCAACAAGTGCCTCTACCCTCTGAACCATCTCCCTAGCTGGAGTTCTTTCTATATTCTATTTGGAAGGTATATATTATAAATAGTGTCTTCAGGTCTTTTTTCTTGTTTTTTAACATTTGTTCATGGTGGTTTTTTTTTTTTTTTTTTAATGGTCGTTCAGAGTTAAAATTAGTTTGTAGTATTTGGCTATTTAAAAATTTTTTAATTGAATTTTTATGTATTTCATACAGAACATCTTAATCAACTTTATACCCCCTTCGCTTTTGGCACCCTCCCATAGCCCCCCAGCTGAATTTCATGCATCTGTCACTTGTGTTAAGGCCTATTATGTGTCAAGTTAGTGTCCCCAAACGTCCCTTGGTGCAAGTTCATCCACTGTGGTCTAGTCAGCCTATCTAGAGTCACATCCTTTAAGAAGATCAGTTCTTCCTCACCCAGCAGTAATCAGCTGCCAATAATTCGTAGACTAAGATTGGGGCCTACTGTTCATTTCCACAGTTCTGTGCTGGGGTTTTGTCTGCTTGAGTTTGCATGGGTCATGTGCATGTTGACACCATGTAGATTCATATGAGAAGGGTCCCAAAATAGGACTCTGTTTGCATATAGTCATGCACTACCTCCCTGACTCTTACAGTCTTTCCACGCCCTCTTCCACAGTGGTCCCTGACCCCTGGAT